AGAGAGCGGTGAGGACAGCGGAGAGAATCATCGGGACAGCACTTCCTTCCATCCATGACACAGCTCGCAGACGCTGCCTGACCAGGGCTCAGACAATCACAAATGACCCCTCCCACCCCCACCATGGACTGTTCTCCCTGCTGCCCTCTGGTTGTTCTGCTTTGATGCTGCTGAACTTCCTGCCAGATTCCACAACAGTTTCATCCCCCACGTCATAAGACTGCTAAACTCCCAATAATCCCCCCTCCCATACATACGACACTAGTCACTTTACATGGACACTGTGAACTTTATTGCAGTTTACTGAGTAACTGTAACTATCTGCATCATATTGTCCGTTTTACCGTTATAATACATCCTGCTGCTACATATAATTTTTCTGTTTGCCACTACATTTCTGAAAAAAAGGCACTTTTTTTTAGTTGGTTTCTGTTTCTTTTATATTTTTTATTCTATTTTATCATGAATATAATTATGTTTATATATTCTTTTACTTGTCTTCTGTTTTTTATTTGGACCTTGCAACGAAATCTCGCTCAAATGTACATCGTGAATGTGCAGTTGAATGGCAATAAAGTCTAAGTCTTCTGCACCCTCTCAAAAAATTATGATTTTCACAAAGAATTTTTGACTTTTCTGTTATACATTTTACCACCATATTTACATTTTGGGGGGAGGGTTTTGGGAGAGAAAAAAATTTATGCACGTTTTGGTGATGTTGCACTCCTGCCATGTTTACATCTGACATCAGCAACCAAACCCTGAACACTAAAGGCGCATCAATGTTTACCAAGATGGCTGTCAGTTCCTATCTTAGGTTACAGCTATTAGATTTGTTCTGTGTGTGTGTGTGTGTGTGTGTGTGTGTGTGTGTGTGTGTGTGTTTGTTACCTGCAAAGAAGGTGGCATCCTCTGCTGTTGTTGTTTGAATTGAAGGCGATTCAACACATTTGAAATATAACGTGTTGCATGTACGCATTCCTGACTTTCCCCAACAGGCGTGCGCGCGCACACACACACACACACACACACACACACACACACACACACACACACACACACACACACACACACACACACACACACACACACACAGATTTAGGTGCTGTGACAGGAAGTGGAGGAGGATTTCATCAGTCACAGAGCTGTCCATCACAACATCAGTGCCACTCTGACATGTTGCCCTTAGCTTTACAACTAAAGGCTACTCTCTAAACTGTTTGAGAGTCTGCTAAAATGAATATAGATTCAGTTCATCGATGTGTTCAACTTGGTTTATGTTGTTTATGTATTATGTTTTACCCTTACTTAAGGGTGAGTCATTAGAAACTAATGCAGTGTAACCAAACTGAAACCCTGGGTCTCGTTTTGAATTCTGGGAGACACCAAAGACGTCAGGCTTAATTTGGGGGAGACGTGTTAAAACGAAACATAGGACATTTGCATTTGATGGGACTATGCAGTAATAAAAACCACAAAGTTTTCAGTTTGACTGTATAACTCATATGTATATATGGCTTAAAAGATGAGCTGGAACAAACAAAAGAATAAACACTGAGTTGTTTATTAGGTAGCTACACTTAGCTAAAACTGATTAATTCTTATACAACAGTCCTTTTAAGAGGTGTGGATTCAACTTTATTGTCATATTGATGGCTGTAGTTTGTGTTGTGTTATACTGAAAGGTGTTTCTACTATTTTGTCCACTACATTTGTAGCAGTAAGGATATTAAATATTAAAAACACCTCTCACAAACTAAATCCTCCAAACTAATCATAAAGTTGAATCAACACCTCTCTAAAACGGAACATTGTAACTTTCATGAAGGTCAGATATATTGCATTAGTTTTAGTTAGTTGTGCCCACTGATAAACTTCCAACTAAGTGTATATGTGATACAAGTGTTGTAGTCAGGACTGCCCGAACTGAGACCAAGACCAAGATCGAGGGAGGGCGAGACCGAGTCAAGACCAAGACCAGTTCCCCACATTACATGACACACAATAAAATGTGGAATGAGATCGTAGGTACTTCTCAAATTGATCTGAAAGATCCACCTTCCCATAAAAACACCCACATACAAACACTAAGAGCTAAAATCAACGTAAACATCTTCATTCAAAACTCCTTTTCCATGCTTACCATCGCGGGGAGGGCTGACAGCCGTTAACGTTAACAACACATTCTTAATTAGGGTTATTGGTTGCATTTGAAGCAAAATGTTTTACATCCAATCAAAGTATGGATGTTCAGACAATGCAAAAGCAATTTATTGATTTTCCCAGAGTTATGGTCTTACTCAATGTCCGAGACCAAGACAAGACAGAGTACAAATGCGGTCGAGTCCAAGACGAGACCAAGACCATCAAAGAGTTGTCTTCAGACCGGTCTCGAGTACAACTACAACACTATGTGATACTGTAAAACAGTGTGTGATAAGATGATTTTTTAAAAACTTTTCTTTAACTTTAAAGCAAATTTTGAGAGAATAAACAACACAGTGTTCCTCCTACTAATAAAGCTGAATGAAAAGTTGATTGAAATCTCACCGTCTTTCAGTTCCGTACTAAACTAGAGGAGTGTTAAAGCTTGGTCTGGTATGACCATGTTAGGTAATGTTAGCAAACATTATAAACCAAATTGTGTCATTAACATTACATAGTCAGATTTATTGACTCTGCTTGAGCTGTTGCATATTATCCCATAATTACTTGTTCAGTAAAAGTTTAGCTTCAAAGCTACAGGTCCCGCATTATGTTCATTTTTACGTTCATATTTTCTTGGGTGTCTACTGTGAAATATTTATACGTTTTTAATGTTCAAAAAGCACGTTTTTCTCAATCCATTTTAGCTCCTGTCTCTTTAAGGTCGCCCTCCCTTAAAGCCCATTTTCTTCTGATTGGCTAACTTCTGGAAGCCTGCAGAGGGGCAACTGGCTGGCATAGCACTGAATCGAGGTGTGGACATACACTCACCTAAAGGATTATTAGGAACACCATACTAATACTGTGTTTGACCCCCTTTCGCCTTCAGAACTGCCTTAATTCTCACATGGCATTGATTCAACAAGGTGCTGAAAGCATTCTTTAGAAATGTTGGCCCATATTGATAGGATAGCATCTTGCAGTTGATGGAGATTTGTGGGATGCACATCCAGGGCACGAAGCTCCCGTTCCACCACATCCCAAAGATGCTCTATTGGGTTGAGATCTGGTGACTGTGGGGGCCATTTTAGTACAGTGAACTCATTGTCATGTTCAAGAAACCAATTTGAAATGATTCGAGCTTTGTGACATGATGCATTATCCTGCTGGAAGTAGCCATCAGAGGATGGGTACATGGTGGCCATAAAGGGATGGACATGGTCAGAAACAATGCTCAGGTAGGCCGTGGCATTTAAACGATACCCAATTGGCACTAAGGGGCCTAAAGTGTGCCAAAAAAACATCCCCTACACCATTACACCACCACCACCAGCCTGCACTGTGGTAACAAGGCATGATGGATCCATGTTCTCATTCTGTTTACGCCAAATTCTGACTCTACCATCTGAATGTCTCAACAGAAATCGAGACTCATCAGACCAGGCAACATTTTTCCGGTCTTCAACTGTCAAATTTTGGTGAGCTCTTGCAAATTGTAGCCTCTTTTTCCTATTTGTAGTGGAGATGAGTGGTACCCGGTGGGGTCTTCTGCTGTTGTAGCCCATCCGCCTCAAGGTTGTGCGTGTTGTGGCTTCACAAATGCTTTGCTGCATACCTCGGTTGTAACAAGGTATGCAGCTATTTCAGTCAAGTTACTGTTCTATCAGCCCATTCTACTCTGACCTCTAGCATCAACAAGGCATTTTCGCCCACAGGACTGCCGCATACTGGATGTTTTTCCCTTTTCACACCATTCTTTGTAAACCATAGAAATGGTTGTGCGTGAAAATCCCAGTAACTGAGCAGATTGTGAAATACTCAGACCGGCCCGTCTGGCACCAACAACCATGCCACGCTCAAAATTGCTTAAATCACCTTTCTTTCCCATTCTGACATTCAGTTTGGAGTTCAGGAGATTGTCTTGACCAGGACCACACCCCTAAATGCATTGAAGCAACTGCCATGTGATTGGTTGATTAGATAATTGCATTAATGAGAAATTGAACAGGTGTTCCTAATAATCATTTAGGTGAGTAGATCTGGCTATGCAAAACTAGTCGGCAACCAATGCACCGCCTCACCCTCTTGCCGGGGTGCTCAATAGCTATGACAGCTACAGTAACTTAAAATAGTAATATGCGGCACTGAATTTGATGAATTTACTGTTTATCAAACCACAAATGAGACAAGAATTAGGTTAGAAAAACGAACGCTAGACTAACCCAGCAAATCCGAAGACCTCAATCGGAGAAGTTTGGAAACACTGCTGACCCCGTTTTCGTTTGGAAACTCCAGGGTAGCGTTGTAGTTCAGACAGGCTTTATACTCCTGTGTTACTTTTAGTTTTAACAGTTCCACCTCGTTGTTGGTCCATGCAAAAAACATAAAAAATGGCCACTAGATGTGGATTTTCAGTCGTTTTAATATAGACGGACATCAGTTCTGATATGCAGCTAAAACGCTGATGTGGACGGAGTTTGTATTTGTTTTAAAACTCTGTTTTGTGGATGTAGCTAAGAGTGAAACAAGGGGGAACGCTCTGTGGCCACTCACTGTGAGAAACAAGATCATTTTTTTTCTTTCTCTCTTCTCTTACTCTAAACCTGTTGATCAGATACAGCGGCTTTTGTGCACATTTGTGTTTCTACTGTTAAGGTTGACAAAGATGAGTGTTTGGGTTTTTTTTGTTTCTGAATTTCACAGCAACTTTACTAATACACTCCCAACTCAAACTGAAACGAGTGGCTCATTTGCAGAGCTGAAAGTTTTTTCTTGATAACTTGCATTATGAAACGACAGTTAGTCATATCAGTACTTAAACGTGTTTTTTTTCTTCTCCTTTCTCTGTTTTGCAGGGTGGGTGGTGTTGCAGACCCTCGTACTGTCCCAGGTTTTACTGCAGCTGTCGCACTCAGACAAGTGAAGATACCGATCCAAATGGGAAGGATGCAAAGAAGCAGTCAGTGTTGTATTTGATTCACACACACATATATACTGTATGGTTCTACTTCCTCCTTTCTTTGAGAGGACACAGATACACCCTGAATGGGCCCCTGTGGTGATCTACATTGTGGTCGGGAAGTACCTAGTGTTACAACTGTCATGCTGGTCTGCTTAAAGGGACAGTGCTGATCACTTTCATATGCAATACATTCTCTTTTTCTTATAGACTGCCATATCTACATGTTCAGGACGTGAAATTGGCTCACTTGAAATGCAGAAATGGACACATTTTTTCAATAAAAGCACAAGTTGAATAGATATAATAATTTCTATAGTCTATAAATCTTCACACCCTTGAAAAATTAAATAGAGCAGTCTACTCAAGTTTTCACAACATGACAAATGCATAATTGCTGGTGTCATGAGACTTCTGGGCCAGAATACATAGAGAATTTGTAATATTATACTATAAGTCTAACCACAATGAGGTGAAAGAGGAATGGAATTTGTTTTGCAATAGTTTCTTAAACCACATACATCTTTACTTGAATATTCCTTGCGCACGTTGTATGTATTCTCTGGCACTTTACACTGTTGAATGTTTTGAAAAAGCTGCTTGTCTGAATAAATTTGTCTCAATGGCAGATGTTTACTAAGCGTGTGTTTTTCTTAGTGTCCAACAAGCGAGTGAAGCATGCTCATTACACTGAAGCTGAAGTTCTGCATCACTGCCTCCTGTTTACAGCTGCCGAGAGTGAGAGTGAAAGTGTAACTGTACATGAGCTCCTCACACTCCTCACAAGGGTATTTACCCAGACAGGACACTGAATATGCACTTATTATGAAATACCAACCACAACACTGAGTTATTGCTTTATGAATAAGGTGTTGTCCTGCAAATATTCCAGTTATTGGACTTTTGAAAATGTTTGACGTCTGTTTTCTGTTATTTTCTCATAGTTTGGCTAATAGTTTTCTACTGGTAATGATAACACTTTACTCACCAGAGGTATTGCTGATTTTTGGGAAGTCAGCAACATTTTTAAAAGGACGTCTGATTCAGTAAGAAAACAAATAAGACAAACTGCCTGGTTAGAGGCTCAGCATGGTCCAGATAACAGTGGGGGAAAAAAAATCTTTTCAGACCATTAGAGTAAACCCACAGATTTACATTGTGCAGTATGTCCTCTGTAGCTGTTCTAATGCATACATACTCTCATCCTTGCAGAAGTTGCCATTGCTGTCCGACACTGTACCGGGCACTGTGAACAAATCTACAGCAAACACACCGAAACGATGAAAACAGGAAAAACAGCATCTGATGTCTGTTGGTTCAAACTTTCATTATAAGCTGCATGACATCTTTGTACAGCACAAGCGTTCTGATCATCTTCTAGATTCCTCGTTTAAAATGTTATCCATCTTGTTGCCGGTGTCTTTTTAAAGGAGGCGGAAGTGTTTGTTTCGGATGCAACACAGACCAACAAGCCGACCATCACCTAAACTGTTGTGCTTCCTGTACTCTTTTGACTTTTTAAAGCAACGAGCAATGTTCCCAGAGCTCAGCACTTACAGTGATATAAGTAAAATAAACGACAGCCACATAAGTCCAAAGTCATAAGCTGTATAAACTAGAATTATGATAATTGACTCGGGACTTGGTCTAGAATTTAAAGGATAATTCAATTATCCTTTAAATTCTAGACTAAAATTATTCTTTGACATTGTGGGAAATATGCTTATTCACTTTCTGGCTTTCCTGTTAGATTAGTTTAGCTAAAGTTAATTTATCAATACATTATATACTATTTTTTAAATTCGTCTGAGAGCTGTTGCCAGGTATCAAGGCTCTAGGAAGTTACTGCTTATGTCCAACACATAACCCTGCCCATTAAATAGTACATTATTGTTTTTACATTTTGTTTTTTGTACAACAAATAAGATATAAAACATGTTAATTAGTGAGCTTCAGAGGTGCTTGTGGACAGATTTTGTGACCTTTGGACAGAACCAGGTTAGCTGTTTCCAGTTTTTCTGCGAAGCTATGCAGACCATCTCATGGCTGCAGCTCCAAATGTACCGTACAGATGTGAAAGTGGTGTTGAGCTTTTCATCTAACTCTCTTCAGGAAAGAAAGCAAGAGTATTTCCCAAAATGACAAACTGTTTTTTTTAGCGGGACAGTGAGTAAGAACTGAGACTTTTCTCCTCCTGTCAAATTCATACATTCAGGTATCGGGCATAAGAGAAGCAGTGATAGCATGTAGAGCCAGAATATTCTCACATTCTCGTGTATCTAACTCAGTAAATTAAGGATTTATTTTGACCAAACCAGAGTTGGTGATTGTTGGAACAGTGGAAAGACTAACAAGCCAATTTAGTCGGTGAAAGAGAGAAACTTGACTTCAGAAGATGTATGTTTGATAAGAAAAATAGGTGTAAGAAAATTTCCTTTGTTATTTATTTGAATAAAATAGCTAAGAGAACTTGTGTAACGTAGCAAAGTCGCCGCACATCTCCCCGATGAAACTACAGGGGGGAGCCGTGAGATATACTATCAGACAATCACCTCTCAAGGCACATGTGATATTAAAACACGGGAGGGGCTGGGGCAAACTGGTTATCATGCTAACTTCAGCATATATCTCTGCAACACAATACACGTCTTTGATGCAGAACTGGTGCTTCTTTACATCTTGTTGATAATGTCAGTTTTTTAAACAAAAGTTCTGGCTTAATGTGTTTAAACATTAAAGTAATCATCTGCCTGTCTAGCACTTTCAGTTCAGTCTACAGGTTTGCAGGTGTTGGTGTTGATTCTTGTCGTGGACTTCACACTACATCTCTCTCACTTCTGTCAGCAGAAACCTTTGGATGTGGTCAGCTGAGTGGTTAGTCATGCTCACTGGACTGGACATCCTTCGGTCACATTTTTTAATCTCCCTTCGTAAACATCTCTTGTAACTTACATGCAGACCTCCCTCTTTCAGCTTGTACTTGAAACACTCATCCTGAGCAGTTCCCCTAAGACAAAGCGATAGCCGCCACAAACTGTCTACCAGGTCAAGCTGTCTGATTTCTCTTTCGTTTGCTTTCATCTGGAGATGGGGTTGAAGCTAAAAGAAAAGAGAGGAGGTAAAACAAACACAGACCTCATTAAAATAAACCTGTCAACTCCCACTCACTTTTTCTGAGGTACAGGAATGCGCTGTCTTGCTTCACATCCCACACAGAACTACAACAGGACTTCAGGTAATAAATGACCTGGATGCCCACCCAGCAACCAGGAAACAAAGACAATCTGCTGCCGTCACTCCCAGATTGGTATAGAATGACTGGGTTTCCCACCACTTTGGGTCACATCACTGAGCAATTTGACATTGAAAAGACATTTAATATATGTCTATTCTAAGTCCATGTCTGTAGATGTCTTAATGTAACAACATAACATTGCATTGTGGGATATGAGCAAAGTATTTGTTTATATGACAAAAAACAAACAGTTGTGCTGTAACGGCTGATGTGTGCAGGCTTTTATAACATGTAATGATTTTTTAATATATGGCCTTAAACCGGGCTATTTGTAGCCAGTAAATTCTAGGTCTATATCAGAGTTTAAGCATAGAGGCAATGTTGAAAGTCTCATGCACTTGTGATTCATCTTGGTTAACAGGTGTACATACAGGGAATTTTTTATGACCCAAGATGTTTAGTTTTTGGTATCTGCATAGACTAGAAAGAGAAAACAAACCACTGTGTTTATCACGTCTTGATTTTTTTCATCTATCATACACTCAAGCTGAAATGTAATCCTTCAAAAAGGGGTTATCACCTTCCTGTAGCTTGTAATAAACTTGTTTCATAGCCCCAAACTGTAGTTTAAAGGCCACGAAAACCTATTTTGTCGTTTAGCTTCTTACTAGCAGTGATGGAGTCCTGCATCAACACACAGTTTTCTCCTAAAGTTTTAACAGTTGTGGTTATTTTATATATAACATTTCCATGCTTGTTCTTTTCTTTCTCGCTGATTTTAAATGGGCTGGACTGTTTGCCCAGGCACCAATCAGAGTTGAGTAACTTTTGAATCAAAATGTGACGACGAACTGCACCTATGAAAAAGCAGATTGAATGAAAAAAACGTAGCTAAAGATTTTTTTCCAAAGTTTGATTTTTGCTTATTTAGTCATGCATATCTAGAAAAACATGACGGCAGGTTTCCAAGGAGCTTTTTTTAAGCTCTAAGGAAACATAATATTTTTTGTAGTGTAACAAAGTGAAGTTTGTGATGAGTAGCCTGCCTGTGGAGTCATGTCCTGCGGTTCTTTACAGTCCAGTATACCTGCTTAAATGTCAATTTAACTGAGCTTGACAAGTCATTCTCTTCTTTTGCTGGATCACAACGGGGAACAAGGTGAAGTGAAAGACAAAGACAGTGGAGGTTAGAGTAGAGAGTAACAAACTGTATCACGTCCATCATTAAAAGCAGCTATGGCAAGCAGCTTGTTAGCTTAGCATAAAGTGTGGAACCGGGAAACAGTTAGCTTGGCTCTGTCCGAGGGTAACAAATACGCCTACCAGCACCTCTAACTAGTTTATTTATTTATTTATTTTTTAATAAAATGAGCAGGAAGTTCCTTGAGTCTCTGCTGGTTGCCTGTCAACAGCTGTTACCATTTCGACAGAACCTGGTTAGCTATGTCCATGATCTGCTCACCAAAGTCATCGCTACGTCGCCAAAACAAAAGTCTGATGGGGCCAGGAAGTTACTGGTCCCAGTTTGGCTTAACATAGAGATTGGAAACAGCTTTTACCCCCGATACCAGCCTTTATGCTATGCTATGTAACTCAACTGCTCGTGCTAGCTTCAGGTTTACCATGCAGATCGTATGTCTACATTGTATTTATAGCTCGGAAATAGCAGCCAGCATGCAGCGGTGTGTTTACAGCTGACAGCTGATGGAGTTATGCTGAATACTGGGTCTGGGTCTTGTTTTCAAGTTTTCATCAGTCAGGAGGTTTCTACATGTAGCCAAAGTCAGTCTCCTCTCCAAAACAAAGTAATGTAATCTGATTACTTTTAGTTACTTTTGGATTACTTCAATGCCAAATAGGCAAATGAAGACAAGAGTATCAATGATGCGTTGTCTGCTCAGTGTATTTTTAGAGAAACATAGAATAACAAAATCTCCTGTTCCCAAAATGCATGTTTAAATGTTATGTGCTTTGCACTATGTCACCACTATGGCAGTATCTGGCCCATCACTGACAAAAAATGTTGTTTTATAGGTATTCTTGATAGGTATTTAAGAGTTTCTCATTTGGAAAACCATTTTAAAATGTTGATTACTCATTCTGCACTTGTATTAATTTAGCGTCCAATGCAAAGATTGCTGCTGAAGGACAGTGTTTCTGGGACCGGGCCCCTTGAATACTGTTGAAAAATAACTTTTTTCACTGATTTTGGTAAAACTTCATATTTGATGGAGAAATATTAGAAATATGGAGATTTTTTTTCTAGTTTTCTCTCTGATGTCCCCTGTGCTCTTCCTCAACTCTGTGATTCAGAGTGTCCTGCTGGATAGCTTTAGTTGTTGCTGAAGTTAGTTAACAGCCTGCTGCTGTTTGTGTTTACCATAGACTGTATAAAGGTGTTTACA